TAGCAGCCGCGGAGGAGGAGGAGGAGGAGCAAAAAAGTTTGTATTTGGCAGGTAGAAACTCGTGGTAGAAGAAGAATTAGTAGTAGCAGCCACGGAGGAGGAGTATAGTTGTAGTCGGTAGTTAGAGACTAGTGGTAGAACTAGTAGCAGCGGCAGCAGAAGTGGCAATTTACATCATCAAAATCAACATCGTCACCACCATCATCTCGACGACAAAACCAACAGGCCATCGTCAGAGTTGCAACAGCTATGCTTTCGAGTTTTGCCAGCAGCCTCGTCGAAGGCCGTACAGCATTGGCTTGGGCGCTCTTGTTATCGCCGCAGAATTTCATAGCTAAGTTGCCGTTCAGCGACGAAACATGATTCCTTCTTTTTGCATGCTGCCTTAATGAATCAATTTCTTTCTGCAGCGTTGGTAGGCTCTACAACAGATTAAGGCAATCCTCCTCCTCATCATGACCATCATCATCAGCATCAGAAGCATACACAATCCTAACAGTTGTCACCATCGTTGCTAAGTAACCTCGCTCTCACGACCATCAAGACCGCCGTGCCTGAACTCATCATGATCACCATCATCATCATCATCATCATCATCATCCTCATCATCATCATCATCATCATCATCACAATCATCGTTCGTGCATAACAAGACAGCGACCGGAACAACCATCATGAACTGGTCATGAGGGGCCTGCAGCTTTTGCAGTATCGCCCGCAGGAGGCGCGGGAAATGTATTGGTGCCACCAGGACACCGTATGCCTTGGCCCCCGCAGTGAGATTAACTACAGGCCCTAAGGCTCCATGTACCCATATAGTAGATACTTAGGCCTTAAAGTACCTATATAGGGACCCCTTTAAGGCCTAAGTATCTACTATAAAGGTACATGGAGCCTTTGGGAGGGTCTCCAAGCTTGAAAGGAAAGGCCTTGCATGGACCTTGTGGGCGCTAATGCAAGCTTCCAGTGGATTAGGATCTCACAATCCCCACGGGGCCCGGACGGTGCCTACCTGGTCCAGTGCCCAGTCAGCAACAATATAGCTCTAAACCCGTAAACCTAAACCCTCAACCCCCAAGACCCGAACAAATCCCGCCGGGTTCGGCTACGGCTTGTCAACTGCTCCACTCGCTGGCCCGGAATATCCCAGGGAGAAACCAAGTAGTGCCAGCCGCCTCGTGCTGGGGATGAAGGCTTTACTGGAGCCTTATATCTCCTGAAGCTCAGTGCTAAGAACCTACGGACAAGGTCTCGTGTGTCTGTCTGGAAGGCGATCTTAAGCCTAAAACCCCTGCTGTATGACAGCCCAAACCTATACGCACCAAAGACGACACATCGACCCTAAACCCTAAGCCCTAAACCCTAAACCCCTTCTGCCTCAGAAGAGACGCCTCCCCCAGAGATCCGCGAATTGCCGATTCATCAGGACTTCTTTCTGCCATCAAACTGCCATCTATACATCCCTATAACCCCTTTCATCCGCATCACATAGGGGCCTTAATCATTAGAATAAGGCTTTGGGCTGCTTTATAATATACAAAGAATACGGACTCCCCCCACTATAACGGTAACTACCCACCTGAAAATGTCCTAGACCAGGGGTGCATGTGGAAATATCTGTACCTGTATACTTATACTAGGTTCGCCAGGGAACCGCAAAAGAAACAGGGCAAAAGGCTACTACTGGGTACGGAAGGCCAAATATGGGAACTTCCGAGAATTCGGATGCCTTATATTGGGGTCTTTATAATAACGATCCTACTATTTGGGGTTCTATATTGGGTTCCCCTACTTACGGAACCCCGCCATATCTGTATACTTATAATGTCTATATCTACATCTCTATGTATATCTATACCTATCCATCTAGGCTTTAGGCGCAGCTTGAATCGAAGAGTCAAACATCTGTGGTTTCCACCTTCAACCCACCGAAACAAACGCTGCAAGCGATCATAACCCACAACCACAATGCTACGCAAGGTCTACTGCTTTAGGGTTAATGGTTCAACAGAACTTCGGATCGGATGTCATGTTTATAACTATCTAGCTTGGACTTAGGGTTCAGGGCTTAGTGTAGAAGCAATGCGACGGCCAAACATTGGTAAGTATTCAGGCCCCTATATTACCTAGAACCCTAAGCCCCAAACCCTAAACCCTCAACTTGAGACCCCAGGAACTCCTGGTGCCTGAGACCCCAGCGCAGTCGTCCGCGGAGCTCTGCCGAGGATCGGCTAAAGAGGCAAAGGCTCTGGCCAGATCCGGATGATCCTGTGGGTGGGTTTAGGGTTTTAGGTTTCAGGGTTTAGGGTTTAGGGTTTAGGGACATTTGGATATGAGGACTTCGGGTTTGGGATTTAGGGCATGAGGGCCTAAAGTTTAAATGATCCTGTGGGCGACTATGGTATTTTGATATGAGATGATAGGAGGATGTAGGGTTTGGGGGATGTCGGGTATGTGGGCTTAAAGCTTAGACGATCCTCTGGTGAAGGCTTTAGGGTATGGGTGGTAGGGCTCGGGGTGTGGATAATTTATAAGGTATCAGCCCTAAACCCTAAACCCTAAACCCTAAACCCTAAACCCTAAACCCTAAACCCTACCCTAAACCCTAAACCCCTAAACCCTAAACCCTAAACCCTCCTCAGGATATTACCAGAAGGGCATGCTAAGGTACAGGGTACTAGGGATTCGGATCTGGGCTTGCGAGCTGATCTTTTGGGCGCCGGGGGGTTCAGTGTTGAGGGTTTCCACGGTTTAGGGCTTACCTGTATTGTAGTTGCTTTTTGGGGTTACCTTATAGGATCCTTAATATGGAATTGGTTAAACCAAAAAACGGAACTACAATGGAGACTATAGGGTGGGTTTAGGGCTTTTGGTGGCGCAGGTCATGGTTCGGGCTCCACAAGACAAAGAAATATGACTCAAGACATAATTCTTCTCCTCATTGGGGGACAGAGGGCTCTCTTCGAGCCCTAAACCCTAAACTTTATAAGCCCTAGACCCCAAACCCAAAACCCAAAACCCTTAAACCCAAAACCCAAAATCCAAAACCCCAAACCCCAAACCCCAAACCCTAAACCCAAAACCCTAAAACCCTACACCCTTCTCTGTGCAGGGCGGGTGCTCTGGCGATGCCCCCTCCGGCCTTCGTATTGTAAAACAGGAGCAGCAGAAGGACCTCGGCGGCCCGCGGGTTACAGTAGGGGCCTTTTTCAGGTTTCGGGTTTAGGGTTTAGTAACTAGGATAGGATTTAGGGGGTTCCTTTAAAGGGTTCTTTAAAGGGTTCTATAAGGGCTACCATAAGGGTTTAGGGTTTAGGGCCTTTACAACTAGAATAAGGCTTTCGGGTATATTATACTATAATCATAATAAGGAACCACCCAAACTAGTATAGGTAATTATTTAGGCCCCTATATTAGAGTGTTATCAGGGCACCATCGAGCTAGTAGGGGTTGCTAATGGTAATAGTAATCGCAATAGTAATGGTAATGGCACTAGTAATAGTAACAGCACTAGCACTAGTAATACGGTTTATGATGATGGTGATGATGATAATGATGATGATGGTGATGATGATGATGACTGTCTATATATATATATATGTATGTATACCTGTATTGCCCGTAATAAGGAATGTACCACAACTTCCATAGTTTAAGGTCCTTAAAGTAATGCAGGATTTGTACCATCAACAGTAGTTCTATATGGTTAGGGCTAAAGTTTTGGGTTTCGGGCTTGGGTTCTTTTGGGTTTAGGGTTTAGGGGTTTCAGGTTTTAGGGTTTGGGGTTGAGAGTACGGGTGCAAGTTGTCACACAACATGAAGTGTTGCGTCCAAACGGTCTGAAGTCGAGGTTTCTTAGTCATACGGTCATACGGGGCTTGGAGGATTATCGATTAGGCCCTAACTAAATCCTAAACCCTAACCTTAAACCGTTTTTGGTGATGAACAAGGCAGAGTGCAAACAGTGTTTCGAGTGACTAGTGCATACTCCCGACCTGCGAGACTACCTGTCTAGGGTTTAGGGTATAGGGTTTAGGGTATAGGGCTTAGGGTGAAAGGCTATACTGCATAGTCGTGATACAGTGCTCATTTGGACCCTTCGGGCACCCCGACAACATCTCGACCTTGAAGCTTTAAGACAACTCAAAGCCAATAGGTGGTAGGCTGCTAAACCCGCACCCCACAAGAAGCCGCGCAGTAAGCCTAAACTTTCACCGCTAATGCAAGCCCTTTCAACCTTGAACAAACAACCCTAATGAAACTACCTAGGTCCTAATCCTACTTACAAAGGGTTAGAAGCCCCTAAGCCCTAAACCCCCAAACCCCTCAAGCCCAGCCCTAGACCCTAGACCCTAAACCCTAAACCCTAAACCCTTAAACCTTAAACCCTAAACCCCTATATAAACCCCGAAACCCCTAAACCCTCAACCGTAAACCCCTAAACCCCTAAACCCTAAACCCTAAACCCGCCTTTTAATTCATGGCCACGGTGCGATGAGGGACCTCCGGGCTAGCGACTTCCCGGCGGCAGCGGCTTCGGACGAGCCAGCCTCGAACTGCGTCCCATGAATCCGAAGGGTTATAGGGCTTAGGATTTAGAGTTTGGGGTTTTAGGGCTTAGGGTTTAGAGTCCGAAGGGTTATAGGGCTTAGGGTTTAGAGTTTGGGGTTTTAGGGCTTAGGGCTTAGGGCTTAGGGTTTAGAGTTTGGGGTTTAGGGGTTTAGGGGTTTAGGGGTTTAGGGGTTGGGGTTTTGGG